GAGTGCCTGGGACAGCAGAAAGACGAGGATGGGCGACACGACGAGCACAAACAGGTGTGGAAGCATGAGTCTCATGCTCACGATGCTCAGTCAGGGACTCAGTCACCTCAGTGTGAGGAGCAGGAGCAGGCAGCGGGGAGCCAAGCAGAAGCTGTGGCTGAGATTGGTCTGTCGGTGGACACAGGAGAGGTGGAGTGAGGCCAGTGGAAGACGGGAGACTAAGAACCTGGCAAAGGACCGAGTCAGGCGGCGGCAGGGACGACTGCGGCTGCGGGTAGAAAAACAGTCGGCGCGGGGCAGTACCAGCAGCTCCAGCTCCTCCAGCACCAGCAGTACCAGCACCTCCAGCACTAGGAGCTCCAGTAGCACCTCCAGCACCAGCAGCACCACGAGCCCCGGCAGCGCCAGCACCTCTAGCACCAGCAGTACCTCCAGCACCTCCAGTGCCAGCAGCTCCAGTAGCACCTCCAGCACTAGTTGCACCACCTGCTCTGGCAGCTCCAGCACCTCTAGTATGAGCACCTCTAGGACCAGCAGCTCCAGCACCTCTAGTACCTCCAGTACCTCCAGCTCCAGCGCCTCCAGCACCAGCAGTACCTCCAGCACCTCCAGTGCCAGCAGCTCCAATAGCACCTCCGGCACCTCCAGCACCAGCAGCACCACCTGCTCCGGCAGCTCCAACACCTCTGGTACGAGTACCTCCAGGACCAGCAGCTCCAGCACCTCCAGTACCTCCAGCTCCAGCGCCTCCAGCACTAGCAGCACCAGCACCTCCAGTGCCAGCAGCTCCAGTAGCACCTCCGGCACTAGCAGCACAACCAGCTCCGGCAGCTCTAGTACCTCTACTACGAGCACCTCCAGGACAAGCAGCTCCTACAGCTCCAGCACTAGTAGCACCAGCACCTCCAGTGCCAGCAGCTCCAGTACCCCCAGCACCTCCAGCACTAACAGCACCACCAGCTCTGGCACCTCCAGCACCTCCAGTGCGAGCACCTCCAGGACCAGCACCTCCAGCACCTCCAGTACCTCCAGCTCCAGCGCCTCCAGCACCAGTAGCACCTCCAGCACCAGCTGTACCTCCAGGACTAGTAGGTCCAGCACCTCCAGCACCAGTAGCACATCTTGGACTAGTAGCTCCGGCACCTCCAGCACCAGCAGCACCTCTAGTACCTCCAGCACCAGCAGCACCTCTAGCACCACCAGTACCCCCAGTACCTCCAGCACCAGCAGTACCTCCAGGACTAGCAGCTCCAGCACCAGCAGGACCATACCCTCCACCACCAGGACTGCCTCGCCGAACGATCCACGCACGAATTGCCTGCGGCAAGAGCGTCTCAAGTAGATCAGGCTGCGGTGGCTGTCAAGCTCCAGGACCTCCAGCAGGGTCACCCACAGCTCCACTGCCACTAGGAATCTCAGCACCCCCAGTCGCAGCACCCCCAGAACCAGCACCCCCAGTCGCAGCACCCCCAGTCGCAGCACCCCCAGAACCCTCACCCTCTGTCTCAGCACCCCCAGGCTCAGCACCAGCAGTCTCAGCTCCAGAGTCCACGGCAGCAGGCTGCGGAGGCGGCGAAGACGGCCGAGTCGGAAAACCAGGGGGGGTCTCCAAGTGTGGAGAGCGGCGAGTGGCCGCCGTGTCGTCAGCGGCGGGGTCACCCCCCTCAACTGGGCCAGAGGAGTCAGAAGAGATCTCCAAAGGCTCAACCAAGCAGGGTGGGTCTACTTGAGACACACCTGAGGGAGCAGGACCCTGTGGGGGGAGGGGGTCTACTGGGGGGGGGACTGGTACCAAGAAAAGAGGCGCTAGGGGGACTGGGTGGGACGCGTGCAGGTGTAGCCTGTAGAAACAAACGGACCGTCAAAGGTGACGTCCTGGGAGGAAAAGACTCAACGCTCGCGCGGGTTGTTGAACTACCACGGCGGGGCATCGGTGGGGAAGCCAAGGAAGACGCAGCGGAGAGTGCGAGAGGAGAGCTTGCTCGCTTTGGCATCGCAAACAAGGGAGAGCGCGCCCCAGACCCGAAACACCGACGCATCCCCAACCTTCCCCGTCCACCGGAGTGTGGGCGAGATCTCTGGCTCAGAGACACGGGGCCAGAGGTTGAGCTGATGCGCTGCGTATCGGACCGCAAACGGCCACAGAAAATGGGGAGCAGCCGCATGGATCATGGAGGTACGAGCAACCTCCATGATCAAGCCAATGCGACGCTCAGCAATCCCATTCTGCTGAGGAGAGGCCGGAAGCGTGAACGTTTGGCGGATGCCCTCGTCTCGACAAAACTCCACAAGGAGGTCAGAAGAGAACTCACCGCCCCTGTCAGAGTGCAAACACAGGACTGGGGAGTCCCGATGAAACCGCTCGCGCAGGTGGCGACAAGTAGCACGGATCCAAGGGATCAAAACACCGCTGACGTCCGCTTTGCGCCGCAAGGGGAAGACAGTGGTGTAGCATGTGTAGTCATCAACAACCAGCAGGAAGTAGCGCTCTTGGTCCGTCCCACCGACGGGGGCCGGACCCCAAACGTCCATGTGGAGAGTCTGTAGAGGAGCAGTGGTCGGAGGAAACTCGGAGGAGTGAGGAGCGGCGCGCTGCCGCCCCTCGACGCAGGGAAGGCACGGCAGGGAAAGCGAGCGCGGGAGGGAGGGCAGGGACCTGGGAAGGCCAGAGACAAGGAGACGGGAGTGCATGCTGCGGAGACGCGACAGCGAGGGGTGACCTAGGCGGTGGTGCCAGAGGAGAGTCTGGTGAGAGAGTACCCGACACGAGCAAGACGGTGCAAGCTGACCAGACGCAGACACTCGACTCGACGCAGCCACCTGACCTGACTCAGCCACCTGACCTGACTCAGCCACCTGTGCAGACGCAATGGTCAGGGTGTACAGACCGGACCCAGGCTGACGAGTGAACATAACAAGGTGACGGCCAGTCCGTGAGCACTTACAGATCGCCACACGCTGTCCTCTAGGAATGAATGTATCAACACATTCATCCTGGAGAACTATGTTGCTCAACATGTTCGTCGAGAACGCGGGGAGGTGGAGACCTGAGAGAGACCCGGAGGGGACTGCCAGACACGGGAGGACAGTGGAGGCTCACACAACTACTGGGCCCCCCAGTGGGGTCAGCCAGTGAGATTGGGACAAGTGCTGCAAGTGGTGTGACTGTGGTGCAATCACGAAAGAAGCAACGGGACGCGCCTGAGTCAAGCGTGAAAGTGTGCAAGGCCTCAGCTGAGGCAGGACCTGTGGGAGTAGACGCACTAGCACCTAGAGCGTCGGCAGACTCATGAGCACCTAGAGCTACAGCAGATTCACCAGCACTTGGAGCGGCAGCAGACTCACTAGAACCGAGAGCAGCAGCCTCTACACGACCAGGGGCGCATTGCTGAGAAGCACAGTCGCGAGGTTGCTGAGGCCACATAAAACCAAAACCTCCACCACCAGGACTGCCTCGCTGAATAACCCACTCACGAATCTGCTGAGGGGTAGGGTCGTCCGGGAGAGGCACTGACCGCTGCTGTCCACCCCTAGCCGCTGCAACTGCCGTGATAGTGGCCGAACATCCCAGCGCAAATCACTCGTCGGAACCGATTTGCCGGTGTCGTCAGAGGGGGTCGTCGGAGCCGGGCCCGACGAGGCGGGCAACTGACGCGCGTGCGGGCCCGCCAGCCTAGCCCAGGGCCGGGCCGAGCGCACGACCGCCGCCCCGCAACCCCCCTGCGTGATTGAACAGCGCCCCACGTTACCGGGTGGGGGCGGCGAGCTGGCGAGCCCTCGCGCGAGGGAAAGTAACCCTCGCGCGAAGGCAGCCCTCCCGTGCCCGCTGCCCGCGACGTCCTAGTGACCCTCGCGACCTGCCCGGACGGGCAGGCGAGGGCCATGCGAAATTCGGGTGCTCCCCTCGGGAAGCTCGACGATTTCGCGACCCGTTGCGGTGACGCCACGTGCTCGCACGCGGGTTCGCATCGGGTGCATGCAAAATTTCGAGCCCGGCGAAATCGGTTCGCTCGCATCGCGGCGCGGGGTTTTCGCGATCCGGGGCGAAGTCGACACGTGTCGGCCGAAACGACGCACCGCGCGCATGCGAAATTGCGTCCCCTCGCCGAGCGAAGCCGGGGGACGCGAAGTCGACGTGCTGGCTCGGCGGCGAAGGAGCGCTTGTGCATGCAGCCCGCCAAACCCTGCCGAGCCAGGCACCACGAACCCTGGGCGATGCCTCAACCGGCCTGTGGGGCACCGACTCCCTTTCCTTGGCGGAAGGAGGCATCGCTCCTCATTTTCGGCATCTCGTTTCACTTTCAACATTACTCCCACACTCTCGTCCCTTCTTAGCCTGCAGTCAATTCCCTTCAACGCAATGGAGGCCGACCCGAAAGCCGGCGAAGCGGCGCCGACCGTGCAGGACTTCCCTCTGTATCTCGACCTCGGTAGTGGACTCACTGCCAAGCTCGAGGAACACGACTACGCCGTCCTCGTAGACCATAGGCTAGAGTTCAACGCACGTTGCTTGGGATTCGGCATCAAGTGAGTCTGCGTATGTGGATGTCGGCGTCGACATCTTCTTACATTGCTGGTCGACGCAGCGTCGGTGTTAGGGTTGTCCCACATCGGAGGCGGCGCTACGAGTTCACGTCGACGCCGACAGTAGGTCGGTGTCGGCACAGGCATTAGGCACGCATCGGTCGGCTCAATTGATTACAACGTCGCGAGGGTGGTGCACCGTCGTACGATTGCCATCCCCGTCGGTCGGCGGTTCCTAAACCAACGTATCCACCGTCGTGTCGTGCACATACTCACTCACTTCTTATTCCCATGCATGCGTGCAGGCACGCATGGACTCGCGCGGCGCCGGCCAACATGCGATTGTGGTCGATAGGACTCGGCCGGCTTCGGGCGGCGATGGGTCGGGCGGACCACACATGCTTTGCGACGGTTTTCGACGCTGACGTAGCGGTTATCCCCTTGACTTCGAGGTGAGCTGGTTAGAAGTCGTCACGATGTGTGTTGCATCCTATGTCGGTGCTGAAGCGGTTGGGGCGGCAGGGGACGCGGAGAGCAAGGAGGACGAGGAGAGGGCGCGAGCAACACGGGTGCACGAAGCAGTGCTGCGAGTGACGCACGACTGGGCCTGGCCTGCTGGGCCCACAGTGCTTGCCGCTGCAGGCTCTAGTGAAACCGCCACCCGGGATGGCACAAGCGAGGGTGCACATGCGGGGTACACCACAAGCACTCCTTCATGGGAGGTCACGCGTGCGCTGCTGGCTCGAGACACGCGCAACAGCTTTGGAGTGATGGCTCCGTTCAGCCCGGGGGGAGAGAGGGCTGTGAGGGGGTATGCGGTGTACGGAGCTGCTTCGCTGGCCAACCACTGCTGCTACCCCAATGCCTGCAGGTGCGCCCTCCACCTGTGGTCTCACATGTTCTCTCACGTCACTTTGGTTTGCTCTCTCCACCTGTTGCCCCACATCACATCTGTATGCTCTTTCCTTGCGCCACTGTTGCCTTCGCCACTGTTGCCTTCGCCACTGTTGCCTTCGCACACAAGCAATTTCAAGCTGTGACCCCCTCTCCCTCTTGCGTCCCTTCGCCCTCTTGCATTCCCTTTCTAACTCCTGTGCTCTCATGCTCGCTCTGTGCCTCTGTTGCTCTGCATGTTTCGCTTTGACTCCTCGCCTAACACACAAGGGCTCTCAAAGAAAGCAACCAGTGACCCCCCTCTCCCTCTTGTCCCCGCTCTCTGGCCTCCCTTCTCTCCTTGGTGCTCTCTGGCCTCCCTTCTCTCCTTGGTGCTCTCTGCCTCCCTTCTCTCCTTGGTGCTCTCTGCCTCCCTTCTCTCCTTGGTGCTCTCTGCCTCCCTTCTCTCCTTGGTGCTCTCTGCCTCCCTTCTCTCCTTGGTGCTCTCTGCCTCCCTTCTCTCCTTGGTGCTCTCTGCCTCCCTTCTCTCCTTGGTGCTCTCTGCCTCCCTTCTCTCCTTGGTGCTCTCTGCCTCCCTTCTCTCCTTGGTGCTCTCTGCCTCCCTTCTCTCCTTGGTGCTCTCTGCCTCCCTTCTCTCCTTGGTGCTCTCTGCCTCCCTTGCACCGCAGGTTTGACTACTTTGACTCCTCGCCTCCTGCCACTGCACTCCCCACCACCACTGCTGGCACCACCACCACCACCACCAGCAGCAGCAGCATTGCCAGCGGGGGCTTCAGCAGCAGCACGCACATGCAGCTGCGGGCGATGCGGGACCTTGAGCAAGGAGAGGAGGTGGTGGTGTCGTACTTCCCCCTGGGCTGGCGCCTGGGGGAGCGGAGTGCGCGGGTGAAGGAGGAGTATGGGTTTGAGTGTGGTTGTGAACGGTGCGAGTTGGAGAGACGGATGGGTGGTGATGAGAGTGAGGAGGAGGACGAGGAGGGGGGGGAAGAGGAGGGAGAGGAAGGGGAGGAGGGGGAAGAGGCAGAGGAGGAGGGGGAGGAGGGTGGGGCAGGGAGCGATGGAGAGGAAGAGGAGAAGGAAGAACCAGATGAGGTGGATGGGGGAGAAGAGGAAGGTGGGGGAGGGGAGAGAAGCAAGGGCAAGGAAACAATTGGGAGTGTGGCAGGGAAGGGAGTAGCAGACAGGAAGGGCAAAGGGAAAGCAGCAGGAGAGGAGGATGCTGATGAGGCAGATGGTGCTGCTGATGGGGATGACAGTGACGAGGATGGGGATGGGCAGACTGCTGACGTGTCAGATGCTGAGTTGGCACATGCGCTGTTCTTCATGAAGCATCTGTGTGCCGTGGAGGGGTGTGGCGGCACCATGGCTGCCAAGCCAGGGAGATGGATGGGAGGAGGGGGAGGAGGGAGAGGGGGTGGTGGTGAGGGTGCAGGGCAGTACGAGGTGGCAGATGACATGGAGTGTAACATGTGCGGTGCGTTACAGTCTCGACGTGAGCTGCTGAATGATCTGTGCTCTTAGTGGTTGCATGCTTGCAGCTGATAGTAGTGTGCACTATTGTGTCAGTTTTCTGGAAGATAGCCCCTCAAAATACAGCAGTACAAATTTCCCAGGCGTAGAAACACGCCTTAAGAAGATACAAATTCCTTCTTTTTTCAAGTGACTGAAGCTGCTGAGTCAAGACGAGCGCGATATGTGGTACAAGAACTGCCATCACGGTACCATATGTTGAGCCTGACACAGTTGGCAGCACACTGAGTGGCATGAGATACCATAGACGATTATACGCTGCACTACACTGCACTACACTGCACTACACTGCGTCAGTCGGTATCCTTGTCAGCACGAGCCACAGTGCTTTGACCAGCTTTGACTACCATCGGGAATCTCTGTTGGGAGCCTCGGGTCACGTGTGTGGCTTGGGTCGAGACCTGATGTGCGCTTCTATCACCTCCAGATTCCACAGGGACTCTCTGTTGGGGTCTGCTGACAGATCCACCAGCTTGTGCACCTGGGGGAGAGAGGGACGAGGGGAGAGAAGGGAGGGGTGAGTGGGTCAAGTGTGAGGATTGGGTCGTGACCTGGTCTACGCTTCGATTACCCATGGGTGCCACAGGGACTCTCTGTTGGGGTCTGCTGACAGATCCACCAGCTTGTGCACCTGCGCGCAGGGGGGGGAATGGGGGCGGGGGGGGGGGGGGGGGGCGGAAGAGGGGGTGGGGGGAAGGGGGAATGTGGTGGGCAGAAGAGAACTGGTGGGCATTGTTCCTTTGTGCACCCCTCCATCCCACGGGGCCAAGGCCTTCCGCACTTGGCAGAGAGGGGGGGCAGATGAACGTGGTGGCGCATGGTTTGGAAATGGCAGACGCGTGAAGACAAACAATCATTCGCTTGGAAGTCGGAGCAGTGCTGACAGTGCGAGCAGTGCTGACAGTGCGAGCAGTGCTGACAGTGCGAGCAGTGGTGCAGGATAAGGGGTTACACGTGCAGGGAGCAGAAGGCACACACACGCAGTGCTGCTTCATAACGGCAATGTCCGCACACGGCAGTGGGTAGATAAGGGTTCATAGAGGGAAGTAAAGGGCAGTGGGGTCACATGAACTACACGACAGTGAACGATGGTGTGCAGTGCAGTGAATAACGGTGCGAGAAGAAAGGGCATGCAATAGGGGCACCTTGATGAATGGTGGGCTGGCAGGGCGGGTGCAGAGAGCACCTATGACTTGCACGTACGACCCTGTACATGTGTGCATACCCACACACACAGATTCACACATGTGCACACATACCAAGGCACATACCAAGGCATGCAGACGAATGAGAGGACAGGCTGAAACAGCATGCACAAGCAGGCAATCACTTCAGCAGATAGAAAATGGTGATGTATGCAAAACGACAAACACAGACCCACACTTGTGGCACCAATCCCTTTTACCAATCCCCTTCACCCATCCCATCCCATTCACATACCCCCCTTCAATCACCCATTGCAGGGTGGACAGCAGGCATGCAGGCAGCGGTGTGCGTGATGGCACCACGTGAACCATCCATGCAGGGTGCCGCATACACTCCGCCACCCGCATGCATGCTGCTGCCCACATCATCCCGAGAATGCACCCACAAGCAATCAAACGCACCCCGCGTGGACCGATCACCTCTCACCCCCGCTTATGTCCCACCCGTTTTTGAGACGTCTCAAAAATCTACTTTCTACACATGGGTTTATCCGCTCCGAGCTCAAACGCTATTTGCTCAGAAGCTCCAGTTTCGACGATTTCTGCAGCATGAAGCAGGCTTTTTTCAAAAGGCTACGCTCCAGAGGATATTCACATCATTTCCTGCTACCTCTCTTTACGAACATTACCTTCAGTCTACGCGATGAGCTCTTACTACAAGCTCTTCAACGACAGCAGCTTCGATCTACTTCGGGACCAGACTTGAGACCTCACGGACCCTTGGTGCTTAAGACCAACTACACTCCATTCAGTAAAGGTCTACCCCTTGGGTTCGTTTTGAGACATCTCAAAAATCTACTTTCTACACGTGGCTTCTCTATTTCTGGTTCCTGTAGATTTCTGCTAGCGTGGAAGTTACCTTCTCGCTTACGTCGAAGACTGATTCAATCGAGGCTCCAACCTGTCGCAGTTTGACATTTTCGTGCGACGAAGTGGTGTTACCACTTTTCTGACTTTTCGATCCTGGTTACCGATCACCTCTCACCCCCGCTTATGTCCCACCCGTTAGAATCACATCACGCACCGACAAGCGGAGGCGACCCCCCCTTAGCAGGAACGATCTCAACCGCCGCACTGCCGTCGTCCAGATACAACCTCCCCTCACCGCCGCACCTCCCCTCCGCAGCACGCCCTTCGGCAGCAGAACCGCCTGCCCCAGAAGACACCTCACCACCCCGGACAGCAGTGGGGGAGGCAGCATCTGCGCTTCGGAGAACGCCCTGCACCCACACTCGCTGCAACGCCATGCTGTTCACCTGCAGTACCATGCCATGCCATGCCATGCCATGCCATGCCATGCCACGCCACGCCACGCCACGCCACGCCACGCCACGCCACGCCACGCCACGCCACGCCACGCCACGCCACGCCATGCCACGCCATGCCATGCCATGCCACGCACGCACCAGAGACGCGGGCAGTGATAGGGATGCAACAAGGAGGGGTCAGGTGCTGAGCCGCATCCCCTGTAGCAGGCAGAGATGGAGAGAGCAAGGCAGTGAGCTCACACCCCCTGTAGTAATCGTTCCACCCACTTGCGATGACGTGGCAATAATGATGAGGACATGGTGACGTGACCATGCTGACGAGAGACAGGTGAACAGAGGCCATAGTTCAGAGATGATAGAGGTGAGTGAATGCTGTGTGTTAGTATCCCGAGGCGCCTCACGTGTGGCTTTACAAACTGAAGACTTTCTCTCCCTCATCAGCTTCATCAAACCTAATCCGTCCCCCTCCCCCCCCCCCCCTCATCCTTCCCCCCGCCCTCATCCTCCAACCCATCCCCCCCTCATCCTTCCCCCCGCCCTCATCCTCCAACCCATACCCCCCTCATCCTCCAACCCATCCCCCCCTCGTCCTTCCCCCCGCCCTCATCCTCCCCCCAATCTCCCCCTCATCCTTCCCCCGTGCCCCTAATGCCGCACCTCCAACAGCGGTTGACCGTTCGCTCGCCGGATAATCCGGTATGCGCTGACGTCAGCGAGGAGCAGCTTACGAGCGGGCAGCGAATAGTCCATCGCTACCGGCGCGGCTAGTGACGATTCAGCGGAGCGAGAGGAGGGAAGGCGTGGAATGAGGAGAGTAAAAGCTGGATAACGAGATTAGGAGGGAGCTGTGGAGAACGCGACGGTCATCGTATTAGTGGTCGTGGCGGTTGCATCGTTCAGACTCGAAGGGAGCAAGAAGAGCATAACGCGTCGGGCGAGGAGTGCTGCATCAACGGCTCATGTCCAGTTCGAATACAGATGGGCGCTGCGGCATGTGATCACAATACACTTGACGATCTTTCGTTTTGAAGAAATCACTAAGCGGACGATCGGAATGAGCCGCGGCCGGTTTTCAACTGCGAATTGGTTGAGACCCTTACGAACACGCGACACCCCTCCGCTCTGTGTGATAGTGAGTTGGCCATGGGAGGCGACTTCCTCCTGAGTATTTCCTTTGCACCTGATGGACCAGTTTAATCACATTCATTTTTTTCACGTTATTGAGCTGCGCACGTCTTGGAACAAGGTGTGCTCAAGCATGCGCTTCTGGGTGGGACACACGGCACACTTGCTGCCACGTCAACTGCCCAATGCCCAGCTGCAGCCTGTCCATTCGCCGAAACTGACTTTCGCGTGATTCGGCCTCGTCAGCTTCTGTGGCATCCACGCTATCCACTCTGGAAATCAAATTGGCTGTTTCGTACACTTCCAATCAGATGAACCGAGGAGCCGGACCGCATTCACTTCGCCCAATCGCTTGCTTTGGCTGACACGGTTCATGGGATTGCCTTGCCTCCTACTTGGGTACGAACTTGTCTGACAAAGATAGCGCTCGATACCGTATTGTATTGTGCCAATTGCGTATGCCACCGTATTGTAATCCCTCCTTTACTCCCATTGCACCCTCCCACCCAACCTCGCCTTGAGGAGCGAGGTCAGTACAATTTGAAGGCACAACTCTACCGCAGTTCACACATTTCCTTCCAGTGCAAGCGAAAGCTTCCTGCTTGTGGTGGTATCTGCCGCGACTGGACATTCGGCAGCGCTCCTGCCGCTTGTTGCGCGAATTCGGCGTTGATAGAAAGCTCGCTACCCTGTCCGTTAAAGCGCTCAACTTGATTCACATCAAATACCCGGAAGGACACTCAAATCAGTTCACGACGGATACTATTGATTGCGAATATGGCTGCCGCTGTTCTCTCGAGGCAACGCCACCATGCCCGACTCCTTGCCGCCAGGGTCTGCGCCACCCTCCCATCGCCCAATCCAATCTTTAATTCCGCAACCTATTTCCTAGCCGCGTCGCAGCCTGTCACACCGTCAGCGCCACGTGTTCGTCCCCCAGCGGCTTCCCTCTCCACCAGCACAAGCGCGCCGGCTCCCGCGGGTGGCGCAAGCCCGAGTTCGTCGAGCCGCGCGGTCCCGCAGATGCCGGCGTTCGATCATGTGCCGGCGCCGTACACGGGGCCGCGCGCGGAGGAGGTGCTGAGGAAGCGACAGAAGTTCCTCAACCCGACCATCTTCGCCTACTACAAGAAACCGGTGCGGTACCGTCGTGGCGTTCGTTCAGAAATGAATGAATAAATGACTTTTGAGTCGACTCAAAAGTAGTTCCTCAACCCGACCATCTTCGCCTACTACAAGAAACTGGTACGGCGCCGTTGCCACTGCCGTGCAGACAACGGTAATCGTTTTTTAGGCGCCTCAATAATCAATCCGACCATCTTCGCCTATTTCAAAAAACCTGAGCGCCGCTGCCGCGTGTTAGACAGTTTTGAGACGTCTCAAAACCCGCGTGTCGCCTACAATTAGAACCCAGTTCTCCGCCGCTGCCGCGTACGAGACAAAGGTAGTGGTTTGTAGGCCACCGCCGCGTATTTGTTCGCCCGAAACTTTTTTCACATCGCCACCTCTATCCCCCTGCTGCGCTGCGCCTACTCGCGTTTTTTCACCTTGCCGCAACGCCTTCCCACCCCGTTCTCCGCGTTTGGCGTCTAGCGAAACGAGCTGCGAGGCGGGCACGGGGCACGTGATGACGTGGCATCCCGGCTACGAGGAAGGTGGGAAGTGTTGCGCACACGCCAGGCCAACGACCACCCACTGCCTTTTTTCGAGGCGACTTTCAGCTCCAACAGCACAGCCCCCTTATTCCCTTCCATCTCCCCGCTCCTCGTGTCCCTGCCAGTCAGCCCGAACGTGTTGCCAGCACGTGCGCCTCCATTGGAGGGGCGCATGCAGTATTCCCCCAACGAGGACGCTTGCGGACTGTCCATGTTTCGCCACTCCGACCCCCCTTCCCCCTCTCTCCCCCGCCCTCCCTCGCTCCCTCCGTTCCCCCTCCTTCGCCCGCACTTCCCCCCCATCTCCCCGCGTCCCCGTGTGCGCATCAGGTGCGCGGAGTGAGGGGCGCATGCAGCACCTCGGCCAGCTGCAGGTTGTGTGAAAGCCCCCCCTTCCCCCTCCCCTTCCGCCCCCTTTCCCCGTATTCCCTCCACCCAGCCCTCCCTCCCCCCCCATCCCTTCCCGTTGTCGGCTACACGTGGTGGAGGGGCGCATGCAGTACCTCTACCACGCGGAAACAGATGCGGTTACAGATTGTCGCACATAGCCAGCCCAAACAACCCCGCCTCCCCCTTCCTCCCCCCGCGTCCAACCCGCCATATCCCCGTTCTCGCCGTTCCCCCGTGTCTCCCCCAGCTACACGTGGTGGAGGGGCGCATGCAGTACCTGTACGACGAGGAAGTGTCGCACATAGCCGGTCTGTAATCCCCTTTCCCCATCGTACTCCCTTGCACCCCCCCTCCCCCCATCGTACTCCCTTGCACCCCCCCTCCCCCCATCGTACTCCCTTGCACCCCCCCTCCCCCCATCGTACTCCCTTGCACCCCCCCTCCCCCCATCGTACTCCCTTGCACCCCCCCTCCCCCCATCGTACTCCCTTGCACCCCCCCTCCCCCCATCGTACTCCCTTGCACCCCCCCTCCCCCCATCGTACTCCCTTGCACCCCCCCTCCCCCCATCGTATTCCCTTGCACCCCCCCTCCCCCTCACCCTCCTTCCCCCCCCAGCTACACGTGGTGGAGGGGCGCATGCTGCACCGGTACCACCAGGACGGCTCCAGGCTGTTGCTCATAGCCACTCTGAAACCCCTCCCCCCCTCCACCACCCAACCCCCCGTTTCCCCCCTCACCCCCTCCCACCCCCCCCACCCCCCTTCCCCCCCATCAGCTACACGTGGTGGAGGGGCGCATGCAGTACCTGTACGACGAGGACGGGCGGCGGTATTTGGATGCATTCGCGGGCATAGTGACGGTGTCGGTGGGGCACTGCCACCCAGCGTTCGTGGAGGCGGTGGGGCGGCAGAACGCGCTGCTGCAGCACACCACGAGCATCTACCTCAACCACCAGATCGCTGAATACGCGGAGGAGCTCGCTGCCAAGATGCCCGGCAACCTCAAGGTGCGTGCATGGCAGCATGGCAGCATGGCGGCATAGCGTGGTGGTGAGGTGAGGTAGTGGGTACATGCGCTGGACAGCACACGACAAGCATCTGAATATGCAGAGGATCTCGCTGCTAAGATGCCTGTTGACCTCATGGTCATTCAGGGCTGTCGTGCTGCTGGGCTGCTGGGCTGCTGGGCTGCTGGGCTGCCGGGCTGCCGGGCTGCCGGGCTGCTGGGCTGCTGGGCTGCCGGGCTGCTGGGCTGTCGGGCTGCTGGGCTGCTGGGCTGCCGGGCTGCTGGGCTGCTGGGCTGCCGGGCTGCTGGGCTGCTGGGCTGCTGGGCTGCTGGGCTGCTGGGCTGCTGGGCTCTCGGGCTGCTGGGCTGCTGGGCTGCTGGGCTGCTGGGCTCTCGGGCTGCTGGGCTGCTGGGCTGCTGGGCTGCTGGCTGCTGGGCTGCTGGGCTGCTGGGCTGCTGGGCTGCTGGGCTGTCGGGCTGCGGGGCTGCGGGGCTGCTGGGCTGCTGGGCTGCTGGGCTGCTGGGCTGCTGGGCTGCTGGGCTGCTGGGCTGCTGGGCTGCTGGGCTGCTGGGCTGCTGGGCTGTCGGGCTGCTGGGCTGCTGGGCTGTCGGGCTGCTGGGCTGCTGGGCTGCTGGGCTGCTGGGCTGCTGGGCTGCTGGGCTGCTGGGCTGCTGGGCTGCTGGGCTGCTGGGCTGCTGGGCTGCTGGGCTGCTGGGCTGCTGGGCTGCTGGGCTGCTGGGCTGTCGGGCTGCTGGGCTGCTGGGCTGCTGGGCTGCTGGGCTGCTGGGCTGCTGGGCTGC